TGAGGCCAGGTTCTCTCTGCAGCCCGATCCTCTGTTGGCAAGGGATGTCACGGAGGCAGGCTGAGGGAAGACTTAGGGCAGCTTGGAGTGTTGGATATTTCTGCTCAGCATGGTATACGTGCAGAGGACAGATGTTTTCATAGCTAGCTTTAACATTAACCACCCTGGATCTTTCATGGAAACCTCAGTTTAATCAGATATCTCAGTATGTACAGAGTGTCTTACTGAAATGCTACAAATACAGATTCCAAGCACAATGACCACTCTGAAGGGGTCTTGATGCTTTGAGTAAGCCTTTTATAATAAATACATGAATAATAATATTATTAAAGGGACACTATAGTCACCAGAACAACTACAGCTTATTGTATTTGTTCTGGTGATAATCGTTCCCTTTAGACTTTTGCAGTAAACACTGTCTTTTCAGAGAAAAGGCAGTGTTTATATTATAGACTAAGGATATCTGCAATGGCAACTCCTCAGATTACTACTAGAGTGTCTTTCTGGGGCAGTGCTGCATGGTGTGCAGCACTGTCATTCGGTGTCTCCACCCTCTGCATGGAGACACTGAACTTTCCTCATAGAGATGGATTGATTCAATGCATCTCTATGAGGAGATGCTGATTGGCCAGGGCTGTGTTTGGCTTATGCTTCCTCTGCCCCTGATTTGCCCCCTTGACAGTCTCAGCCAATCCAATGCTTTCACACATGACACGCAAATCTACCTGTCCTCTCCTGATCTCTCTCCGCCCATCTTGACTTGTGTCTCTGACTGCCTCTCATCAATTTCCAATTGGATGCCTGCTCACTTTCTTAAACTCAACCCGTCCAAAGCAGAACTTCTGGTCTTTCCTCCATCAAGTGCTGCCACTCCCGAGTTTGTCTCCCTCCAAGTCAACGGCGCCACCATCACCTCTACCTCTCAGGCTCGCTGCCTAGGTGTTCTCTTTGACTCCAGCCTCTTCTTCACCCCTTATGTCCAGTCGATCACCAAATCCTGCCCCTTCAATGTAAAAAACATAGCTTGCATCCGCCCCTATTTACCACTAGACATGGCTAATGTGCTGGTCCATGCTGTTGTTCTTTCTCATCTTGACTACTGCAATCCCCTTCTCAGTGGTCTTATGTGTTCCCAGATTGCACCGCTGAAATCTATTATGAACGCAGCGGCAAGGCTCATTTTCCTGTCTGCCGGCACCTCCCACGCCTCCCCTCTCTGTCAGTCCCTACATTGGCTACCAGTTAGATATAGGGCTCAATTTAAGATTCTGGCGCTTGCTTACAAGTTTCTACATAATGCTGCTCCAAACTACCTATCCTCCCTAATACACAAGTATGTCCCGTCAAGGTCCCTGCGCTCTGCCGAAGACCTACGTCTATCCTCTGTCCGTACTCCCACATCTGATGCTCGCCTCTAAGACTTCTCCAGGGCTGCACCTTTTCTGTGGAACTCCCTTCCCTTCTCCATTAGAATTTCACCCAGTCTCCACTCCTTCAAAAAATCTTTGAAAACACACCTCTTCAGGAAAGCATATAATTTAAACTGTTAGCGGATTTTCATTCCCCCCTCCCACCCCATGACTCCTCTCCTGCAACTGTCAAAAATAACCTACTAAGTTCCCAGTGAATACTTTTCTATCAACCTATTTCATTACCCCTACTTATACCTGTTGTGTCACTATACCCCACTTCCTCTAGCATGTAAGCTCATTGAGCAGGGCCCTCAACCCCCCTTTAACTGTGCGTCCATTTGTCTGGTTACAATTACGTGTCTGTTAGTCCATCCATTGCACAGCGCTATGGAATTTTGTTGGCGCCATATAAATAATATAATAATAATAATAATAATAATAATATGGGAGATCATTATGATTGGCTTTGCTCAACACTTCTGAGGATGTCAGTCAAGCAGGCAGATCAGGGGCAGAGGCAACAGCAGCAGAATGGAATAAAGGTAATATTTTACTATATTTTGGGAGGGTAAGGTGGGGAGGAGGGCTTGAGGGTGTTTTAACACTATAGATTCAGGAATACATGTTTGTGTTCCGGACCCTATAGTGTTCCTTTAAACATTGAATTTGTAATGCTGTATTTGCCCAGTAGGGGAGCAATAGTATGGTGCCTAGTAGCACTGACCAAGCCACATGTCCTTACTAACCCCCTCATTACTCTTGATTTGCTCTTCATTCTATTCCTTCTCAGTTCCAATATCCATGGTTGTCTTTCTCACTGGCATGAAGAACCCATGTGACCACATCTACTCTGGATGAACAAAATTTGGTTAAAATGACTGGACAGCGACTAGATTTGCAATTCTCATATTTAATAAGGGCAAATCGGCCATTTCAACCAAATAAGCACCATCCTGACATATTGATCTTATGTCTGGTTTCAAATCTGTGTATTTTGCATCCAAATCCCATATAATGTTATCAAGCACCTCTTTCAACCCGTGTTGTGACCAATGCATCTGGTGTCATTCCCTTTTTGTGTGTGAATGATAAAAATGTGGACTATTTGTCTGCTGGAAAATAGTTAAATAACCCTTGGACGTGTGAGGATAAATTATGTGGTAGCTGACTGGTGCTTGCTAGCCAGATTCCACTGGAAAAAGTAGAAAAATATTTGCTGTTTGCATAAGGCCATCACATACATGGTGAGCAGCCACCAGAAACTATTTAACAAATGTAATTAATGTATATTTTGCATAATTAATTACATTTGTTTTGTTAAAATGGATCTGACCCTTTTAGCTCGCCACTCGCCACCAGATTTTTTTTTCCAAATGATGTTTTCCAAATAGCACAAGCGATTAGCTTATGATGTGGTGATGGTTTCTAGCAGGTGCGAAGACATCTTAAAAACACATTCTAAAAAATTCAGAGCTGGAGTTTCGTGAGTCTGCAATAAACACGTTTTGTTCGCTTTTTGCTTCTTTGAAATGTGTGTGGACAGCTTATTTGCTTTTAGAGAGTATTGCTCAGTGTTGTATGTGAGAAAACTCTTCGTTGCATTTCTCAAATGTATCCAAGGTGTCAGGACACTGTCTAAACTTAAGTCTAAATTAAAAAAAACAAAACACTTTTAACATGTTTTGAATTGGACAATTAAAGGACCACTATAGTGCCAGGAAAACATACTCGTTTTTCTGGCACTATAGTGCCCTAAGGGTGCCCCCACATTCAGGGTCCCCCTCCCGCCCGGCTCTGGAAGGGGGAAAAGGGGTAAAAACTTACCTTTTTCCAGCACTGGGCGGGGAGCTCTCCTCCTCCGATCCTCCTCTTCTCCTCCCCGTCGTCTGAATGCGCACGCGCGGCAAGAGCTGCGCGCGCATTCAGCCAGTCAAATAGGAAAGCATTCATAATGCTTTCCTATGGACGCTGGCATGCTCTCACTGTGAAAATCACAGTGAGAAGCACGCAAGCGCCTCTAGCGGCTGTCAATGAGACAGCCACTAGAGGAAATAGGGGAAGGCTTAACCCATTCATAAACATAGCAGTTTCTCTGAAACTGCTATGTTTATGAAAAAATGGGTTAACCCTAGCTGGACCAGGCACCCAGACCACCTCATTAAACTGAAGTGGTCTGGGTGCCTAGAGTGGTCCCTTAATTTGACATTTGTATTAAGAAAGTAAAAATTATCAGGCAACGCCAAAAATGCTTGTGAAGTTAATTGGCAAAACCCTGCAGATCAGGGTTGGTTTGTGAAATACATAATCTCTCATCTCCAGTGCATTCCACATTAGAATGTAAACTTTACGTATAGCATAATTTGCATTTATATTCAGTGATACTGAATTCTATGTCATAGTAAGACACCAGTCATATTGCGTTGCTGTATGATATTATTGTGAATGGTTTTCAAGTTCTTCATAGGATCCACTAATTAATAACATTTGCATCATTAATTGTTGTATCATTTAAGTTGTTCTGTGCCTTTTAGCTTGACAGTCTCAGTGCTAGAGTAATTTTTCCTTTTGATGTTCCCGTATTGCCCTGTACTTTACATGGAGTATCCCAGTTGCTATGTGAGTTTGTTATATTAATTTAAAACATTTGTAAGTTAAAATGGACTGTAGTGGTTATAGTGCCAGGTGTACCCTTGCACCCCAATGTAAATAGTTACATTATTTAGTAACGGTTTGACTTCTTACCAGGAGTCTGGCAGGCACGGCTCCTTAACTTCATTCAGACAGAAGCTCTCTGCACATAGATCAATCAGTTTTTGGCTCTCCTAATAGCTGAGTGGAAGCAGGGAACAGATCCCAAGTGAAAAAGTCAAACTATTACCAAACTAAGCGTGCTGTAGTGGTTATAATGCTTTGAGTGTTCCATTCATTTTTTATTTTTTTTAAGGGTGTGCTGAACTACTACTATGTTGATTCCACCTTCACTAGTTTCTATGACGACTAATGAATGTGCACAGGAGCATTTATATAAAATGTTCAAATGTGGCAAATCATTTTTCTAATCAAATAGTTTCTTTAATGTTCCAACTTTTTCTATGAAGCCAATTTTACTTTGTCGGTCTAGAACAGGTCTGACCAATTTCAACCCATGTGACTAAAACCTCCCAGTATTTCTTCCAACAATTGCTGGAGGACAGACGTTTGACACTTCTTGTCCACAGAACTTAAGTATTTTTTCCACATCTTCTGTTTCTTTCTTTAGGACTGTTGAAATAGATCGTCAAAGCTTTAAAAATTAACACAGAAGAAAAATCAATGGAATATTCAATAAAATACTTTTTTTTTAGTTACAAACATTTTTCCACGCCATATAGGACATCCCACTATCATTCAGAGAGTGGTCTTTCCCTTGTCACATTTAGTGACATCCCACATTGAAATGAATCAGCCCATTCTCTTTCTGCTGGTGTGTAGACACTCACAATATGATTTAGATACAACAAGCAGTGAACATTGAGAGATGCCACCAGAACACTGATTGATCATTTATTTAAAAACAAATACTTTTATTATCATACTTCCTGGTAGTAAAGCAAAAGTTAGGTTAAAGTTTAACATTTTTCTCTTTTATTGTGCACAACATATTAATTTTTTTTTATTTTAAGAGATACATTCCCATAAAGAACAGTGTTCACTTATTTGTATGTTGTGCCAAAACAATTCTACAGTACTCCGCCAGTGATGCAGTTACCAGTGATGGAAAACGGTTTTGCAGCAAACTAGTCCGATGTATTTGTAGTGGTCCTCGGAATAAACTGCTAGGGGAGAGACACTTTCCATTATTCTATGATTATAGCCTTACATTCTGTAAACATGGTACTAAACATTGTGCTACAACAATTCAAAGAAACGTGGACAGCTCTGTCAAAATTATCAACAAAAATTAGAAAGATTTATAATGTTAACTGCTGGAAATAATATATTATATACCATTTTAATTCATGAAATAAATGGGCGTACAATTCAATAAGTGGTTAAGAATGTTTTTTCATTTTTCTGAATAAGGTTTTTGAAAAATTGTATTTGTATTCAAATACTGTTATTTTTGTTTTTGCATGTAATGTACATATTTAAAGTGCATTTACCAACATATATGTGGGTGTTGTAAATGAAATAAACACAACAATATAAATAAATAGCATACAATGGTTTAGATCTTTTACATTAAACAAGTAGGTTTTACTGTAAGCAGTTAGAACCAGATGGGAACGCTAGGTCTTAAAGGGACACAGTAGGCAGTATGACCATTTCATTTTATTGAATTAGTTAAAGTGTCTGGAGTCCCTTGGCACTGTCCCTCCATTCAATGTTAAACCTTTTTTGAAACAGTTTAAAAATTGAATGCGGTAAAACAGAAGAAAAGAAACAGGATTAACTCCACTTAAAACCAGGTGCGCCGAATCAGGACCAGCAAATCCAAACCACGTATGATAAAATAAGAAAATATCTTCAGGCACTCACAGAATTAAAGCCATAGGCAGATTTATTGGATCAGAAAAGCAAAGCATCGTTTCGACCTTGATAAAGACCTATTTATAGGTCAAAACGTTGGTTTGCTTTTCTGATCCAATAATTCTGCCTATGGCTTTAATTCAGTGAGTGCCTGAAGATTTTTTCTTGTTTTAACGATGAATGAGGGTCTTAGGTAGCCCACTGGCATTATGGCTAAGGCAGAGATTGCGCTCTGATTTAGCCGTTCCAATTCAGGCTATCAATGGGCATTTTTGTGTTTAGTGCATGTACTTAACTGGACATTTCAGAAAGCTGACAATGGAACTACAACATTTATGCCAAAATAGCTGAGTTACAAAAGTAGCATACTTTAAAAAAAGCTCTTCAAATCCACTAATTTGGTCTAATTTTTCTCATCTACTCAGTCTCTAGAGAATAAAACCCAAACTCTTTTTTTAAAATGTGATTCAACGAACAGAACTCACATCTACCCTTTTCCTAAATACCGCTAAAGTAACTTTAATAGCATTTTCTTGCAACTAATTAGCAAAGACACAAATTAGTGCAAAAGTTTGACTAATCAACAGGATATATTTGTACTTAATAATATAAACACGCATTCTTAGTTTTCTTGTTATTAACCTAGTGTGATTTTGAAAGTGTAAATTGCATGTTCTGTTATTTCGATCAATATGTTTTAGGGTATTTAATTGATTTGACAGGTGTATTGATCAAGGAAATGAATTTATGTATTCCAACCTTCTACCAATATGTTTTCTTAATCAATATGAAATATAGATCTAATTATGCTATCATTACTGAATTGCTTTAACTATTAAAAAGTGCTGATGTGTGCCTTTATAGAACCATTTTGTCTATCGGATGATACTGCCTCCGGCAGAATGCAATAAGTGCAAGACAAACTATTTTCGGATCTCCGGACAATTATCATTTAATTATTATGCATTAGTAGGAAGTAAACAATAAATCTGCATATCTCAAATAAAAAAAAAGAACAGTTACATATTTTATGTTCTATAACCATTTTCTATAATTTTATAATTTATTATCATTTGAAATACATATACCAAGAAAAGCAGTTAAAGACCCCATTATGTGATACAATCCACACATACCAAATAAAAGCACATCAAATTTGGAATGTAGAGGAGATCACATGTTGCGCAGGAAGGACACATTTGGGGTAGACAGTATTATTTGTTTGGAATAAAAATCTTATACCATATGCAGCCAATGTTTCAGCCCCAATATGAAAAGGAAGGGGAAAAAGTAATTGCACAGACGGGCAATTAAACACCACGATGACTGATTGTTGGAATTTTCATTATTTTTATAAATCTTTAACTTAAATGCTTTTTTTTTTTAACTTGTTGTATTGTTGCTTTTGTTAAATTATTAGTATCTTTGCTTTTATTGCATACATGTATATATCTGAATTATTTAAAGTAACACTAGTTGCTGTCTATGCAATGTGCCAACTCTTTGGTGACTTTAAATGAATAATTGCTGTGATTTACATAAAATACAATATTTTCTTTTCTTTTCTGAGGTTACACGTACAAAATGAATTGCAATACAGCTGTAATTGAACCCTTTCAGCAAATTTGTAGATTTATAGAACTGTACTCTGAGACTTTAACCCTTTCATCTACATTATAGCATTGGGTACTCGGAGATGCTGTTTATTGGTGGATGTATTGGGGTCTCCCCTTAACTAGAGATGGAAAAGGAGCTCCCATATCCTTCAAGAAGGAATTTTTCCATGTCTGCTGCTGCAAAAATTGTGAGTAGATTTCTCTTCGACTGACAATCATTTGATAAAATTTTGTGTTTTTTTTTCCCATAAAAAGCAATGCGTTTTGAAGAAAGCTTTTCAATGAAAAAATGCTACATTCTGGACAATTCTTAAAATTTTAATTTTAGAGATAGCTGGCAGCAAAAAAATATGCAAGTGTAAAACATCTGTAGTCCATCACTCAAAGCTAGCTTTTACCTAGAACGTAGTTTCTTGTTGTGCTTTATATTTAAAGTGGCTCTGTAACTACTGAATATATATAACTTATATTAAATATATAATTCCAATGCAAGATAAAGATACCATAAGACAGAGACAGGGACTACTTTGTCTTATGGGCAAGCCTGAGGTTGACAAAAGGCACTGTCAACTTTTGTCCATTCTCAGCAGCTGTCATATGTAACGATTGTGGGAAGCAGACTTGCTCATCCCGACAAGTGATATATGGCGGCTCCCGCGGTCTCTTCATGAGAGCACAGATGCAGCTCCTGGCCAAAAACTGAAGAATTTCAGCAGTAAAAAGATGGTTGCAGCTGTGAGGGGCAGCTTCAGGTAAGTAAACCCTTCACTGCATCCCCTGGTCACTGGAACACAATGAAAGGTGTCTTTGGTGGTGTTTGCAAAATATGCAAAATGATAAGCTTTTAAAATTATAATTATTATTATTATTTTTTTTTTTAACAGAACTAAAATGCTTTCAATGCCAGAGGAGCTACTTTATATTGCATACAGGTCAAGAGTCTGAATAAACAAATCCTTATGAAGTGGACTGAAAGAGGGTGACTTTTTTTTACATATAATTATTTTTATTTTGCTATCAACTACAAATAGGATAACTATGTGTTTTTTTGTGTCGATTTGCAACATGGTTTACTTATAAGGTCTGTACTCTGATCCAAGTCTTTAATGTGTGTAATTCAGGATCGAATTAGGCAACTTTACTTTAACCACTGGGTTTTTTAACATTTCAGTTCTTTTCATTTATTCAGATGCAAGTCGTGAGCAAGAATTGAAGATGTAAATGTAATAACTTCGGGATAAGAAGGAATAGATGACCTGTGGTATAGATGTCTCCATAAACATTTTAGGACATCCTGTTCCCATACCTTATTTACTTTTTTACTATTAGGATTTATTTGATAAAGGAGAGAGATGTAGACGATAGACCCATGTGGTCTACTGTGTGGGGCCAGAGAGATCTGTTGCTCACATTCTATGCAAACATCTATATAGTTCCCCATACTACAGTTTGAATTATACGATCAGGAACCACCAGAAAGTACTCAATGGTGGGTAACCATGATTTTACTCTAACATCAAAAAACACTCTAACTTGAAAAATAAATATATTTAATTTTTATGCTAGGTGTGTCCCTTTTTTATTTAGATTATGGACCCCCTTTTAACAAAAAAAATGTTGTAGAAAGCAACTACACCTAGCTGTGAATAGTACAGGGACAGACTCCTCACTGCAGGTGGATTCTCCCCCAGTGATATCATCAAGACTAATGATCAATGGTCAAATCCAATACTTTTCATAGAGAAGCATTGTGGACATATTGTGCATGTGTAGCAATTGCTTTGATCTGCCAGTCCATTGACTGTCTATGAAAAAGCATGAGAATCATCAGCCATGCTCAGGGGATATAAGATGAACTCGTGGCATGAGAAAGGCGTGTAAGAGACGAAACTTTGCCATTTTGATCCTGATTAAAATGAGCAATTTCTTCTATTATCTTAATTTGTATCCCATCTAGTTTGTTAGGCAATACAAGATTTATCCTTGAGATATCTTTTGGATGTTACACTGTGTATTCATTAACCGTGTTCAGTGCCATCACATTGTGCGTGATGGCGAACATGAAGATCTTTGAAAATCGAACATCTTGTAGGCAGCCACTAGATGTGTCTTTTTAGCCAAACATAAACATTGCAGTTTTTTGTTGTTGTTTTTTTTAGAAATTTCAATGTTTTACATTATCTGAGAATAGGGACAGGGTCTTTGCACCAAAACCATTTCGTTATGATGAAGTGGTGGTGATGCCTTCAATTTATTTATTTATCTATAAAATATTTTACCAGGAAGGATACATTGAGAGTTCTCTTGGTTTCAAGTATTTCCCTTTACGCATTTTACGGTTATGTCTGTGGAATTCCTGACTTTTTGCTCACCCTGTACATCACTACAAATGAGAATCATAGAAGTTGCAGTCATTGGGTCCCTTCTCACACAGACACCCCCTTGCAGATTTTCAACTGCCAATTACTTAGTTACAATATACTGTGGTCTGGTTCATACTTATGAAGCATATTAAGCATACTAACAACCCGTGGATGTTGGGCTAAGTAACATCCCCAGGACATACTTGAAAACCAGAGTAATCTGAATACTTTTCTGGTTAAATACTTTGTTATTATTATTATTATTATTATTATATATTAGAAACTAAATAATTGCAATAAAATTACATTTAGCCTCCTACTTTGAAAAAAACATTTTTGTTTGTGGAAACATAAATTACATTCTGAAAATTACTGCCTAATAATGAATAAATTTAATGAATCAGATGGCAATTAAGTACAAGTATAGAGAACCTTGAATGTATATCAAACTCCACAGAAAAAAAAACTAATTTAAACACGATGATGGTGACATAAAAAAGGAACATTTTATCATGGTAAAATACACAAAATGATAACTTTATATAATATTTTTCTCTAAAAATGTAGTAGCTTCTACAAATAATATTAAATTATACATATAATTTATATTTTTTTAAAAAGTAAGTTAAATTGGAAAGTCAGTCATATATGGCCATTTTCTGTTTATTATTTATTTTTTAACCATACTAGATAAATCTATTTATTTAATTTTTTTTACTAATATATATATATATATATATACTAATGAATTACAAATGAAATTTACATATTAGTCACCTTGATAGCTATTTTATATATCTATTTAAAATATTTATCAAACTGTATGCATTGTCTGGTGTGCATCTGACTAACCTTCTCTAGTACATCAGTACACACACAAAATTTCTTAAATTCTGTGATTCGTACAATAAAAAAAAGAAAAAAAATGATATTGTTGCAATACTTCAGGTTTCATTGACTTTTCCTAAGTGGTATATCTTAGACTTGTGCATCCTGTTTTGTCAGAATTTAGACCTATCTATGGTCCATTTCTCCAAAGTGTAATACAAAAGTAGAAACGAGCAAACAACTAGTGCAATGAATGAGAATGTTCATTTGCTTCAAGATATGAAGTTCACCAAGAAAGAGATGATTGGCAAAAAATTGTTTATTAATGGCTAGGAGACAACCATGTCTTGACTTTGTTGACTTTATTCACAGATCAAGTAAGAAGTGAACAGTAGAGAGTGAAAGAGTAGTAAAAAAAATCTATATTACAATATTTATATACTATTTATTTAGTAAACATATTTAATATATAACTACATAAATATAGATTATTTTTTTACTGATTCTTCTCTTTTCCCCCCTTAATTGTTTATTTCTTTCTCATTCGATTTGTGAGCCCAATTGTGAGAAAATGCACGTGTACTGCAAAATATATACATCATATAAAGCATACAGTGCCCTCCACTAAAATATGAGCAAAGACGATTGTGAATACATCATCTTTATTTTTTAACTTTTTGATCATTTATTCAAAAATATACAAAAATACTCTGCTCTTATGGATATCAAGAAATTGCAAACACAACACATGTTTATAAAAAATAAATAAATATTTTTTTGTTAAATATATGGCATAATTATTGACACCTCTATTAATTCATAAGGGGAAAAATATATTTGAGTATATTCCAATTAATATTTTGCATTTTGATAGTACATCTGGGTAACTAGGAACAGGATATTGTTCAACCATGACTTCCTGTTTCACAGGGTATAAATATGAGGTGACACATAGGCCAAACTCCCTTAGTCATTCATCACAAAGGGTAAGACCAAGGAATATAACTTTGATGTGCAGAAAAAGGTTGTTGAGCTTCACAAAATTAGAAGTGGCTATACGAAAATAGAAAAAGCTTTGAAAATGCCAACTTCCACCATCAGGCCAATAATTAAGAAGTTCCTGCCAACTGGTAATGATAGGAATCAACCTGGAAGAGTGTGAAGAGGAGGATTTGAATGGCCAAAAAATCTCCAAGGATCACAACTGGAGCATTGCAAATATTAGTTGCGTCTTGGGGTCAAAAAGTCTCCAAAACTACAATACGAAGTAACCACATTACCACAAGTTGTTTGGAAGGGTTTCAAGAAAAAAAACCTCTACTCTCATCCAAAAACAAACTCAAGCATCTCCAGTTTGCTAGACACCTCTGGAACTTCAAATGGGACCAGTTTGGTCAGATGAAACCAAAATAGAGCATTATGACAATAAACATTAGAGGTAGGTTTGGGGCACACAGAGAGGTAGCCATATGGAGAATGACCTCATGCCCATGGTTAAATATGGTGGTGGCTCTTTAAGGTTTTGGGGCTGTTTGTCGGCCAGACAACTGGGACATTTTGTTAGGATACATGGCATCATGGAATCAAATATTAACAGATAATAAATAAAAACATGACTGCCTCTGCCAGAAAGTATCAAATGGGCCGTTATTTTCTTAACAGGTCAATGATCCAAAACATACATCAAGATCAACACAAAAATTATTTAATGACCACAAAATCAAGTTTCTGCCTTGGCCATCCCAGTCCCCTGACTTGAACCCCATAGAATACCTGTGGGGTGAACTGTAAAGAAGAGTCCACAAGCACCAAAGATCTGGAGAGATTCTGTATGGAGGAATGGTCTCAGATCTCTTGCCATGTATTATCCAGCCTTTATTAGGCATTAGAGGAGAAGACTCAAAACTATTACCGGTATCTTGGCAAAGGGAGGTAGCACAAAGTATTGACAATAAATGTGCCACACATATATTTAACAAAGATCATTTGATGTTGTTGTTATTTTTGCAATTGTTTGATATACATGAGAGCAGAGTAATTTTTTACAGCCTTCTTTGTTCATATTTGTTAACGGTGCCAATATTAGTGGAGGGCACTGTCTATATATATATATATGTATATATTGAAATACACTGAATGGTCCATTTTAACACCCAATTTTGTTTGCCTGAATCATTTTCCAAAATATATTTCATGGAAGATATTTAGACAAGCTTAAACATCAATGAATGAGTGTCGGAGGTCCCAAACTAAATGTAATTGTTGGACTTGTCCACCATGCACAAATCTAGTATATACTATCAGTACTGGGAACAAATGTGGTTTTGACAAATTATTTGCCATTATGATAAGTAGTCTGCAGTGTTCCACTGAAGCCCTGTAACAAAACCATTAATAAAAAATATTTGTTGTGAAAGCCACACCCTACGGTTTGCATAGAACCAACAGGTACGCAAAGCAGCAACACACAAAGGGGAGGGGGGCATGTGCTAACCAGTCAGAATTGTAAAATAATTGTGGCAGACATAAAATTCTATTTCATTTTCTTATCTGCTGCTTAACTGTCAAAAATCAAGCGGATATGTGCTATAGTGATACTAGTGAATACAAATGCACATACTAAATATCACTTGCACAAAAAAGTACTTTGTTAAAGAATATTTTACCATGTATTTTAACGTCCGCCAATGTGCTCAAATAGTTTCAGTTTGTGAATAATCCACTGTTTGATTAGTAAATAGTTACAAATGGTAAATGCATGTTTTTTAAAAAAAAACTTTATTAGTACATGCCTCCCAGTATTGTATTCACAAGAAATCCTTTAATTGACTATTTCTGTGCTGGACTGCTCACCTTAGAGGTAGCACTTAACTATTGCAATGTGTTGTTCACCCTTTAAACACTCGAAGGGTATAAGGTAACTACTGAGCTAGCTCACTCATTTATTTACAGATTATGTATGGGTGACAGAAAAATATGAATTCACGAAGTAATCTGTTTGGTGATGAGTCACAAATAAAATAAAATTTAATAATGAAAGGGTCTTTCTGAAGCAGCAATCCTATTTTATCACAGACCCTTTAAAAAGGCACTGTATGCCACGATACACGACGGCAAAAAACAAAACAAAAACAAAATATGACTGTGAGGTACCGGAGGGGACATTTTAATAAGAAAATCGGATACAGCTATGAAAAAAACTATTGAAACACTTCTAAATATCTGTGAATCTATTCTGCGTTGTGCTTTTAGATTCTTCTTTTAACAGAAATCAGGACAGAGGTGGCCAAAATTTAGTTTAATAGCTACTGTGGAGCTTTAAGTCCCATGATGCTTTGCCATCCTTAATGCCAGCAAACCATCACGGAAGCACCCTGGAGCTACCTTTTGGCCATCTTTGCCTGCTCCAGTGTGATACTTTGTTTATTTCTCTGGCACGCAAGGATTCTGTAGGCCTTACTTGTGCTGCCCTCCTGGGGCTGTCCACTAGAAAAACCACCCAATTTCTATTTTTATGGGAAGTTTAAGAGAGGCATAGCTGTATTAAAAACAATAAAAGACATATAGTTTTCTAAACTGTAAAAGTACAAGAATATAGAGTATCGATTACATGGACAATTCAATCCCGGGCCTCAGGAAGTACACTTTGTTTTTAGTTCAGTAACCACCCCCCTCCTCCACACACACACATACACACACATCTAGTCACCACAAAAAAAATAGTTGTTTTCCTCAGAAAAGGTAGTGAACAATTTTCCAGTCACCAAATAAGTCAAATTAAAGACCATCAACCCCCCCCCAAGTGCTGGACCAACCCATAATTAGTTACGGCTACTGATAGCAAGGAATTCTAAACTTAGCATTTCTCTTTGTGTTTTGCATCCTAAATTTCATATTCGTAGCGAACTACAGGGTGACAAAGCAAGGGGAATACTCAGATGCTTGAAATTTTAGCAATAAGTTTAAATACTGACACAAACAAACAAAAAAAAAACGAGAGAAAAAAAAAGAAGAGGAAAAAAAACCAACAGAAGGAAGTTGTCCAAAACTTCTGTTGAGTTCAAGGAAAAAATAATTGCTGGATACTATCACACGAAGTTGCACATCCAATGAGAAGCCATTTTCACTCATCACTGTGAAGCAACAGTCTTGCTGTAGGGCCCGGGATTTTATTGGTCAGTTTCTTGAAGTCCGGTTCTATGCCAGGTTTTCAAAAACCCCAGTCTTGGAAGTGTTGAGTTATTTTTCTCCCTTAGAGTTATGTGTAAAATATTCTAGACAGGGAGAGTTCAAAACAAGGAAAATAAATACTATTTTCCTTTAAAGAAATGCTGAGGCACAAAACAGTTTCTTCTACTAATCTCATACATGGAATCCTTTTTCCTGTATATGCATTATCTGTAGTCTCAAAGTCTGTATACTGCTGACTATTCTTCTCTGGTGTCCAATAAGTGTAACTCCAATTCTTCGGACGTCACTGGAGAGAATAAATACAGATATATATGTTACATTCACATACAAAATAGGAATCTAAAATTAAATGAACACTGAACTTTAAGAATTAACTCTTTCTTCTTGAACTCCACTGTGTCCTTGTGATTATTAACATTTAAAAGACCCTCGTTGCATTCCAAATAACCATTTAATTACCGTTTATTCCACCGCTGACAACAGTCCCCTCGCAGTAGCCAACTCTGCCTTTTACGGAGTCAACATGTTTGGTGACTTCAGTTAAATATAGTGCTTCTAGTGGAGAAGCATTGTGGAACCAATTCATGGGAAATTGAGCAATATGGTGCTTTTTAGTTTGTGTTTTTATTTATTTTAAATGTGTTTGTGTATTGATTAAAGGACCACTCTAGGCACCCAGACCACTTCAGCTTAATGAGGTGGTCTGGGTGCCTGGTCCAGCTAGGGTTAACCCATTTTTTCATAAACATAGCAGTTTATATGTTTATGAATGGGTTAAGCCTTCCCCTATTTCCTCTAGTGGCTGTCTCATTGACAGCCGCTAAAGGCGCTTCAGTGCTTCTCACTGTGATTTTCCCAGTGAGAGCACGCAAGCGTCCATAGGAAAGCATTATGAATGCTTTCCTATGTGACTGGCTGAATGCGCGCGCAGCTCTTGCCGTGCGTGCGCATTCAGCCGACGGGGAGGAGAAGAGGAGGATCGGAGGAGGAGAGCTCCCCGCCCAGCGCTGGAAGAAGGTAAGTTTTACCCCTTTCCCCTTTCCAGAGCCGGCGGGAGGGGGACCCTGAGGGTGGGGGCACCCTCAGGGCACTATAGTGCCAGGAAAACGAGTATGTTTTCCTGGCACTATAGTGGTCCTTTAAGCTGTTCATAGACATGCTGGAGCGGGTGAACATTGATGGTGGTTATTATGGATTTTTATTTGGCCTTTTTTTAGGGCCCGAAGGTAAGAACAATTATAAAAAAGAAGATTTCTGATAGATAAGCTTACATTTTATTTTATAGGATTTATTTGCCCCCACCAACTGCTATTAGAGTGAGGGGGTAGGTAGGGTCATTAATTTTAATGGTGGTGGCTAGGGGATTGGAAATGCCTAGCCATCCAGGGGAAAGAGCTTAATTAATTACATCCTCACCCACCACCAGTGACTGCCTAGTCGCTAGTTGTAACGTTTAGTAGACATGTCTCCACCTGCTTCATGCCAGGTGGGGGCATAGTGAGCTTTTAAACCTCTCTTAAAGTATTACGGGGAATTTTTGACCCCCTTAGGCTTTAAAAAAAAAAAAAAAACTATGTAATGTGGCGGTTGGCTAACAAGCTCTGACCAGTTGCCACATAATTAACCCTCTTACTGCCATGGGCTATTTAACAATTAACCTGCTGGCTATTACCACTTTCAGCTAGAAAATAGTACTTAAAATTATTGTTCACTTGCATGAAAGCAAGTAAATGATAATTTGTGAACATGCATGTTACTGGGTGCATATAGTCCCTACTCAGTTTAAAACCGGTGCTTTGTGAATCCTTCAAAGCCCATACTTTGTACAGTATTCAGACGCAAAAGCACCATTTATAAGACAAACACTGAACGCATGCGTGCCATTGTTGCTGAATATCTTTGACTGATAGTAAATTTGTCTTTAGTAAATATGAGAATTGTAACTGTGGTCGAAATTCAATCATTTTCACTGGATTTTGTCCATCAAGTGTTTTGTGAATCAATTTTACTTAAAAAAAAACAAATTTAAAAAAATATTTTTTTTCTTTCTAATGAGAAATACCTGTATATAGAGATAGTCATTACTTTCCTTCGCAAATGTAAAAACCTATCCCATACTCATGCAAAAGAACAAAATAGGAAAAGGGGAGGGAAAATTAGACCTTTTAAGGGTGAGCATGGCCACACGTGGAATAATCACTTTAAACGTCTATCCTCATGTTTTACAATAAAATGTAACATAATGAAAATAATACCATTTGCCATCTTTTTCTTTAATTTTAGATTGCATTTTTGCCTCCCTCATACCCCATAGAGCAAACATTTAGAATTCTTAATACTACTTACTCAATGCTCATTCTGGAAACCAGGTCCAATGTTGTGAGTCCTGATGCCATGAAATTATTGGCATACTGGCCCATCTTAATAGACTCTAGCCATTCAGTGACTGTGACAAAAAAATGATATTCCTGTACATCACCTGGTGATTCTGGCAGTCTGCAAGATAAACACAAATAGTAACCAAAACCTGATATGATACATGGTTAGGGGAAAAAAATCAGTTATTTATGGGAAAATTTTAAAATATCAGTGGAATACCTATTGACAGAAACCTTGACACATACATGCATTTCTGGTGGTAATCCACCACAACCACATTGTGTTAGACTTAGTAAATCCATGACTGTAAAAAATCGGGCAAGGAAGTGTCCCTGAATGATATTTTTTAAATGTGGTCACCCTAGGCAGCTGTTCACATAGATACATGGTGGGCCCTTGTCTGGGTCTGGTACTTCTGCTATGGCTGTAAGGGAGCCTCCCTGATCTGGCAGGGAGAGCAAAAAAGCACTGAGCTCACTTGGTCAAAGTAGCATTGTGGTCTGCGTCAATATCAGGTGCAAATCTCTTTAAGAGTTCCCTTGCAGTACCCCGTGGCTTCTCATAGACTCAGAGTGCTGTAGTCAGCGTTCTGAGACATTAACTGAGTGCCAAATCTGCACCGGAAGTTCTGCACCCGATATTGGTGCACACCACAACACTCCTTCACCGAATCACCAGGCCATACTCCCAAGCTCATTCTCCACTGTATGACCAGAGATCCTGTCAAGCATGCCCCCCATGGGGCCACCAGGGATAGCAGCTCCCAATAGTATGAAGGCAAAATAACAACTTCCCCACACACTCAGCCCACCATTTAATTCACACTAACTCAACACTTAGACTCCTCCACAAACAAAATTAAGTCACTACACACACAAGACTCAACCAACACACACAGGCACATTCAGCCTCTCCCCACATGCAGCTTTCAGACTCCTCCCTGCACGCAGCACTCAGCCACCACACACACACAACACTCAGGCTCCCCCACACACAAACACCTCTCAGCCAGTACACAAATACAACACTCACGGAACAGAGTCCAAAGCTCTAGCTGGGAGCCCAGATTTGGTATGCTGCCTAGTATCTTATAGATGTCCCATCTATATGTTCAGAATGTTTTTAAACAAGCAGATAATGACTGTTAGAGATGATGGGACACAGTTAATTGTTAGGACATCTGTCTATCCATATGTCTGTCTGTCTATATCTATCCTTTCTGTTAATACATAGCAGAATCAAGGGTAAAATATGTTGACATATGAAAGTTAATTACTGAAAATGGGGGACATATGACAGTTCTTTAAATTCACTCTTTGAAGCAACAATTACATTTAATTTATTAATGCAAAAAGAGCATAAATAAATGAAGACACTGCTTGAGGGCAGAGAGATAGACCAAAAGTCCTTGAAATTCACCTGTGATGTTGTAGGAATTCATAACTCTGTTTGCCATAGGCATGAATTAAAACAAATACAGGACTTAACAAGCTTTTATGTCAGTATGGCCAATCCCAACTCCACTTGTTTCATCAAATAGTCATAAATGAAAACAAAAGTCCCTTAATAGACCTTATACTAGCGTTCCCTTTAATGGTGTGACAGGTAATTCTAATGACATATTAGAACAATCAAAGGAGCCAATAATAGCCTTTTTTAGTAAAAGCACGTAAAAAGAAGAAATATTGTTAGCGCCATTAGTTAAGTAGGCCTGTGTGTTCTGCTGTTATCATTTATAATGTAAATTACACATTATTAGAATGATTGTGTTACTAATAAAAGATAAAGGGTAATTAACTTGATTGAGAGATCTCTCAGGATAACAGCATGCTGTATAGAACCAAAAAGCAGGACATGTGTTCACTGAACCTCTTGTAAGACAACAAAGGGCAAACTTGAAGACTTACAAGACCTTCATTCATCAGCAATCTGCTTCTATCATTCCTGTATACTTATTTCTTATTTCACCAGTGAATTGACCTCTAACTTAACTAGATCACATTGACTGTTTCCTCCCACTCCTATCTTTGCTATTGCACTTTTCCCAAATTTCGACTTGTTGTGGTTATAGTGCTAAGAGTCTTCAGATGCCATCAATACCTGGTTTCTGTCAAACTATGTTGAACTGTTTGGTAATAATGTGTTCTCTGGTCCCCCTCTGCTGTCACTCAGATAATTAGAAAGTGGATGTTGCAATATTAACTTACTTTAGATGGCAGTGATAGGCAGATAGTAATGGGTTACCCCATAGCAAATGTCCTCAGTCTATAAGTGCCTGCTACCTAGAGTTAGATGTTTAATGCTGAAGTTAATTTCCACATTAGCCAAGTTGCAGCAGAAAGGCTGGACCTTTAACAGACCTTT